ATAACCCTCCAAAGCAACAGACCAATCATAGGTAGAGTCCCACCAAGTGTCTGTTATCCCCACAAGGTCATAGTCATTTTCGCATAAGATAAGGGCCAGTTCCTCTTGCTTGTTTCCCAATCTCCTGGCATTTGTGCATAGGCAGTTGAGTCTGCCATGAGAAGCCCCATGTCAATAGACCACCCATCCCCCAGCACTCTTAGTTTAAAGCCCTGTCAAAAAGGTCAGCCATCCTGGCTGAGAAGAGCTTCTTCCCCTTCCAGGTGAGGTGGAGGCCATCCCTTCCCAACAGTCTGCTGTCTCTGAATTGCAGACTGTGGTCAAAGAACCAAACCCCTTGTGATGGCACCATCGCTGGAGTCTTCTATTCACCTCACCAATGCACCTTTCCCTCCAGAGCCCATGTCCTGCAACTGGGAGGATCGATGAAAAAACTACCTGTGCCCCCAGACCCTGAGCCCAGCCCCCAGAGCCCTGTAGATAACTCAGCACGGACTGCTCCGTGCCATATAATTTGTGCCCACATGCATGAGTAGCATGGGACGGTGGTCAGAGGGCTGGACAAGTCTGGGGATCCTCTCCATCACATCACGGATATGAGGTCCAGGCAAGCAGCAGACCTCATGGGCTATGGGGTCAAGGTGACAGATTGTTCCCTCTGTTCCGCTAAGGAGGGAGTCATCCACCACAATAACTCTGCACCTCCTTCTGGGCACAGGTGCTGGTGGCCCTCCATCCTCACATGCTGGAGCCAGCGGTATGGCTGGCTCAGTTGATGTGAGGGGTGCAAAATGGTTTTGCAGCTCCAGGGAAGTGGTAACCCTGGTGCTGCGCCTCTTTGGGCCAGAGACAACCATCGTCCAGGCAACCCCAGGCTGGATTTTGTGGCGGTTCCTTCGTTCTGCCATGCTTACAGCCTGCAGGTAAGAGTCCAGCTCCTGCTCTGCATCTCTAAGGGAGCACAGTCACTGGACCATTGCCTGGAATTCCCTAATCTAGCACTCCAGAGCCTCTACCATTGAGCACATGCCACAAGGGGAGGTATCAGTGCCCCCAAACCCAGCTGCCTGCAGTCTTGCTAGGCAGCTTCCACATGGAGCCAGGGGCTCCATCTGAGAGGAGGCCAGGGCCAAGAGTCCCACCTGGGTGGGGGTAGGGACTGCAGGCTCCATTTGAGTATAGGCCAGAACCATAGGCTCCATTTGGGTGGAGACTCCAGGGGTGTCAGAGCAGGGGAGTCCAGGTGCAGGGTGGAGCCCCGGGGTGCAACGTGTCCCACCCACCATGATCCTTGTAGTAGTCTGGCTACTACTGTGCAGACCCTTTGCTACGGCTCAGTGCCTGGAGCCTCGGGCCCTGCTGCTTGCCCTCCTGCACAAACTCCCACCCTAACTTGTGCACTGGGCAGAAAAGTGTGCCTGTTTGCGCATTCTGTTCGTGTGGCTCTGGTCGCGCAGCACCCTGGGTGGCTGGGTGAAGTAGGATCTGGTCAGGGCGAGCCCCCCCCTTGGCTTCTCTCAGCTGCCTCCCTGTAGCTGGCTAGTCTCTCCCACCACGGACCCCACTCACCTTCAGCTCTACTGGGGGTTAGGCGAGGTTCACTACAGCTGCTGGGGCTCACTGGGGGTCTTTGGGGTGCAGGAGGTGCAACGGGCTTATTCCTGTGTGTCTCTCACCACTCCCTGACCCAAACTGCAGCTTTTTTCCATTGGCAGGCACTTTTAAACTATGCGCATGCGCAGTGGGCCCGCCACTGGCACCACACTGGTCCCAAGCTAGCAGGGACCCTCCCCAGGACTTGGGGGACCCTCCCCCACCAGAAAGGGACTGGTGAGTACCCTCTCCGCTCCCCTCTCTCCCTGGGGGGCTAGGTCAAGTAGGAGCGAGCCCTTCCTCAGCTCCTCTCAGGTGCCTCCCCGCAGCTGGCTAATTCCTCCCACCACGGGCCCTGCTCACCTTCTGCTCTGCTGGGGATCAGGTGGGGTCCTCTGCAGCTGCTGGGGATCACTGGGGGTCTTCGGGGTGTAGGGGTGTGACAGATGTACACCCATGCATCTCTTGCCACTCCCTGACCCAAACTAGTAGGTACAAGGAAGTTTGGGATTCATGCTGTTCCTCAGTCCATTCACAATCCCACCACCATGCTTCTATACAGAAGTGAGGTCTCTTCATCCCTACCCCTTTACTCAAAGTGCTTCTAGTTTATTCTGGGCTTTGGACAACTACAGCAGGGGCAGGAGGACTTGGCTGTCTCAAGAAAAACATTTCAGGATATAAAAATCAGGCAAAGAGTTCACTTTTTCTGTATTTCTGTTTTCTAGCTGTGATTGTACTTTTGACATTTGACAATAGATGACATTTACTAGTTATCTTCCCATTTTCAGTTTCCTTCTGGAAACTCTGTATGGTCTCATTGCCTTATCCATGTATACACTGTTGACATATCCATGTGGGAAAGCCCCTGCCAGTGATGTCATTCCTTCACAGGTCATCTAAGAAAAGGGTTAATTTCAAGTGGAATTGCAAGAGGTACATTGCAGGTCACGCAGCAATTCTGAACTCCTCATCTTCACTATAAACTAAATCTCATTCTTTATGTCTGGATTATAAGGATCTAGACACATATGGGATTACAGTATTTGTTAATGAAGATGTTTGCTTTCATGATTCCCTAAACAAAACTCTAATTGGAGATGAGCAATCCAATTGAAAAAAGTGAAATTTTGGGGGGACTTTAGAAAATACAGGTTCCCCTCGCTTTAAGCATGTTCTTTATGTGTGAATTCGCTCTTATGCAATGACCCTTTTAATACCAAAATGTTGTTACATGCGAGGTAAATTTACTCTTACGCGATCGGTGTGGTGGAAGCCCGCAGTCAGCTGCTTTGTGTGGTGCATTGTGGGAGTGACACACACCAAAATATAGTGTGTGGATCTGTGCTATTCTCTCATTGTCAGAGACCCACTTTTTCTGCAGTTGCCATCCCCATTATGATAGTGTCCTGTGCTTGTGTGTACTGTCTGATGTTGGTAAGTACCAAAATAGTCTTGTAAAAGTGGTAGAAAGGGGTCTGGGGGTCAGGACAGTCGAGATCTTGGAACATATCCCTATTTGTTACATTGTAAAGTGGGTTCCCTTCATACGAATTTTCCAGGAACGCATCTACAGCATAAAGCGAGGGAAACCTATAGTTTTTTGTAGCTGTAGTAATTCACAAGATCCTGAGGCAGGATGCTTTTGATATATAGGTCACTTAGTGCCTATCCATTCTTCAGTGAGCAGACCATAACCTATCTGTACCTAAGCAGTCACAAATAGGTATCTCTTACAGTCTCTGATGAGGAGTGACATACACTCTTTTTGTTACTGCTGTTGGGATTGATAGCTTGATAGTGATCAGTGGAAAAATTATAGGAGTGAGGAGGAAAAAAGCTCATTACTAAATCACATTATTTCTTATAGGATTCTCACATGCTCCTGAAGGCACTCCCAATACAAAACAAATATATGAACACAGTACTTAGTCTCTGGTTGCAGCAGAGAATATGGTAGTCATGGTATTGCTGCTCTGTGGGACTTGTATAAAGTTTGGAGTTTTCATGTAAAAGTGTAATTCATGTGTACAGGTTTTTAGTTGTAGCCATGTTGATCTAAGGACATAGTCAGGCAAGCTTCTTTGGGTAGATGTGATATGTTTTAGTAGACCAGCTGGTTAGCTGGAAAAAGTTCTTTGAAAGCTTTCAGGCACAAGCACACTTCTTCAGGCATAGGGGTCTCTGCTGTTCTGAGATCGCCAAGGAATAAAAGAAGCTAGAAGTGTAACAGGACGTCATTGAGAATGTAAATGGGTGGAAATTAGGAAAACAAAGTGTAGGGAAGGGAGGGGGGGAAACGAGGGGGAAATAATGCCAAAAGGTAAGTAAGGGAGACTCTACTGTAGTTGAGTTCTCTAAGGTAGAAAAGAGGTAGTCTGTGAAAAATGAAATAGCTGGAAATTAGGAAGACAAAGGGTAGAAAAGGAAGGGAAAGTGGTTGGGGGGGGGAAGGAAAGGGTAAATGGTAATGTCAGGCAGATACCTGGTGAATCAGATGTCACGCAGGTTGTAATGTGTCATAAATCCAATGTCTATATTGAGTCCATGATTTTTGTATCCAGTAGATTTATAAAGTGAAGTTCATAGGCTTGTCCATGACAGGTGTTTTGTAAGTTTGCTTTGAGGATTAAAACTGAGAGATCAGAGAGGGAGTGATTGTCTTGTGAGAAGTGTGCACCCACAGGTAATTGTATATTTTTATCTTTGATTGATTTTCAGTGTACGTTCATTCTGGTGTACAGTTGTTGGTTTCTCCAACATATTTTCCATCAGGGCATTTGGTGCACTTTTGCCTACCTTTCGTAGACGAGCCTGCAAACTTTGTTCTGACCTGTTGTGGTCTTTTGAGGTTCTTGTCAACAGAGAAAAAAAAAACTGCTCTATTATTTTTCCATAGGTCAAAAAACACGTAAAAACCAAGAGCTAGTATTTTCAAAGGAGTGTCTCAAGTTTAATGAGGGGTGCCTAGAGTCTAAAACAGTCAGGAACCACTGTTTTAGATGGGCCTATACATGTTCCCTAAATTAGTTTTTTCAATAATGCATACATGCTGGCTGTAAACAGCCTAAATAAACTCCTTCCTCACATAGAACCCAGGGAAAAATAGGAGGAAGAACAAGCAGTAGCTTTCCTCTTGGGGTAAGAAGAAATTTCATGGAGAAAAGCTGCAGGTAGTGCCTATGGTTTGGCAAATTACAAGCCTGTGAGTTTACTGGATGAAAGTACAGACTGTTCCACTAATCTCTTGGCTGTTCAGATCTGTTTCTTTTCACACAGCAGGCTCTCCATGTGCTTTCACAAGTAAGAAGGCACTGCATTTTAGTTTCCACGCATATGCAGACTTAAGTCAGAATCTGGCCCTTATATATCATTTTTGAACATGTACTTTCTGTCTCAATATGTAGATGAAGGTGCTTCCTTTCACCCATGCGACGATACCTACTGTGGTCCTTTTCCGGAGTCTGAGCCTGAAGTTAAGGCTGTAGCTCACTTTCTTCGCAAACATCGGAAACAAATAAAAGCCTATTTGTCTTTTCATGCATATGCCCAGATGTTGCTCTACCCATACTCTTACAAATATGCAACAATTCCAAATTTCAGCTGTGTGGTAAGTACATTAGTACTTGGAAGAGAAGATGCCCTTATAAAACATTTCTCTTACATTGTTTAGAAAACAGTACTGCTTTTCCAATGAAGTATTGTTTTTCTAATACTTCACCCACTTTTCATTTTAGTAGTATTTATTTTAGATCCATTTCCAATCTTATCACTGGTTAGGCAACTTTTATTTAAAGTGAGTCAGCAGTAATTTGATTAGAATGTGATGGCTCCTTCCATCCATCAATCTCTTAAAATTACTTAGTAGTATAAATCACTAGATTTGACTTACAATGCTGTTATAATTTATTGAATTAATATTCATGGGAGTTGTGTTACTAAACCCCTGGGCACCTACCTAAAGGTTGATCCCTTCATGTTTGGAAAAAATGAAGAGATACAAATGTTATGAGACATAATGAAGTTCACCTCTGATTTATTAACATTTAAACTGCTAGACAAAATAGAAATAAAAATGGCTTATTAAATTATTTAAATTAGAATTTAGATTAATCAATTAAATTAGAAATCCACTAGATTTCACCAAGAATAACACTTCTAACCCTTTACATTATAGCTCACTGCCATAGCATTGGCTCACTGACCCTTTTGACCTGAGAAGTTAGCCAATATTCTTTCTGGAAGTTTCCCCCATTAGATGAATGAGCCCTGGCTTGATTCTCCCTTCTTCGTCCTCTTTTGGAGGTTGATTGAGGTTCTACTCAGCTGAAGCAGTCCCCATCATTAGAAAAAGAATTATATAACAAATATATAATTTGAATATTTCATACATTGGAAAAATAAAGGAGCCTTACCTTGGTGTCTGTAGTACAAGAAGATAATTGACAAGTATTCTGATGAACACATCCAGAGCTAAGTGAGAGAGGCTGAGAGAAGCAGTCAATGTGTCAGAAAATTCATTCTTAAGAGAAGGATTCTTAAAGCATTCACACACAGGGAAATCCCACCCACCCATAACCTTTTCCATCTAAAATGTTTAGATGGGTGGAAATCTGTTTGGCAACCATGGGCCCAATTACTGACACAGTGGTAGCCTTTTGGTCAACTTCACTGGCCCTTCAGTTAGGACCTGTCAGGCCAGTGATACATTAAATGGAACATGGACCTGAAGTGGCCATCAAAGATATCATTACAGACAACTTCCAATTAGGAGCCAACATCTCTAGATAAATATATTTATTTTTAAATTAAAACAATAAAGCAACCTAAAGTTTGCAAATATTTCACTGATACCCTAAATTATGTATATGTCAGTTCCACAGTGATTTATTTTTGTTTGCCTGTATGTTTTGCAAGAGAGGATGATGAACAAAACCTGCTTCTATGTTGTAGGGAGAATTCAACCAGTAAACCTAGGAGAGAAGCATAGTGAAAAAAGTCACAATAAAGTTATTGTAGAGTTGTATTAAGGTACTTTTGTATACTAGCACTTGCCTTTGACCAAAAAGTTACATCATTGATGGCTCTAAGATGCATATATTTTCAGTATTTAAAATATCTACCAGTATCACATAAGCTAAGATTGAAAAACATAATTATAATTAAGTCTCCAACCAATTTCTCTCTACTAGGGTTCCATGGCTAGATGGACTATGAGAGTTGTTCTGTGCGACTCCACGTGCAGAAAGGGTGAGGAACGTTTAGTGCAAATAGTGCTCAAGATTATTTTAGGTAGAGGCAAAGAAGCTTCTCTTCAGTTCAGTACACACTAGTATTCTGCCAGTCTCTGGTTCAATTAAAGTGCTAAATTATTCAGAGCTGCTCTGAAACTGGAGAGCAGTATACCAGTAACAACATGCATATTCTGTTCTAATTTAGACACAAGTCCCTTATTAACTCTCTACATAAATCTGTTCTTTAAACATCCTTAAAGTGAAGTTGGACTATAGTTTTAATGTGGTAAACGTCTGCAACAGTTATTTCAATCCATAGAGTTTTTTTAATTCCATTTACTATTTATACTTATACAATCCTTCATCTCCGTGTTTGCAATAAGCTTATATGGCATAGAAACATTCCCTCAGCAGATCCCTGTACTAAAATCTACTAATATTGCAGTTTATCTCGAGGCCTGCTCCTCTGAGGTGCCAGGAGTTCTGGTTGCTCAGTATCATTCAGGATCAGACCTAAATAGTAAAATGAAGTACTCACAACTGTTTTTCTTCCTTCTGTGCCTAACAACAATGGTTGGTGTGAACACACTGCCTGTAACCTAAGAATCATACGCTCATTACAGCCAGCTCTTTCTTTCCCTCATACTGGAAGTATACTGTGGTCATTTACTTTGCTCAGTTGTCATGTGTATATGGAAGCCAACACTACATCATTTTTCTAACAGCTTTTTTCTTGTTATTGTCTGACAAATAACTTCTTGGAAACCTGAAATTGAAATCTATTTACTTATAAACACTTTCTCCCTAGCATATTTCCTGGCATCTTATTGTACATTTAGGTCACTGACATGAAGATATAATAGTTCTCAACTTCCCTCCATTTATTTCAGAGTAGGAGATTTCTGGCCCATGTAAGATGAGAAGGAGGCCCAAGTTAAATCACAACCCCCTTCCACAGATTTTGTAGAACTGCGGATGACTAAAGCTGTATGGGGTTTGAAGTGAGCAACTAGACAGAAGTAGACATGGGAAATGACTGTTCTCACTAGTATCCCTTCAGTCTCCAAACCCATGCAGTGCTCCACTGAAGTTCATTATAATATTAATTTTGACATTCCTGCATGCTTTCACTGTCCCTCGTGGATTTGTGTCAAATAGCACACAGGCTAGCAGTATAACTCCTTCACTACATACCAACAGAGACTGATAAGAACCAAAAAGGGCCCAAAAGAAAGTTTATAATACTCTACTGGAGGGTTCACCACAATTTTACGAGTTGCAGGCTGGCATTTGTGACCTGGCTGCCAGTCCTGTCACAGCATCCATGATGCCTCTGCTGCCTTTGCTTACCCACGTGGCCGAGTGCCATAGATACCTGTCCTGAATGGTAACACAGGGGGCAAATAACATGGTGAGGGTAAGTGCCACCTGCTTTAGGGGATAAGACAGTGCAGAAGGGAAGAGTGCAACGGGAGCTGGCACCACAGAGCATTCAGGAGGAGGAAAACCTGCCAGGGAAAACTGTATGCCACTAATCCCAGGTGCCACTGCAGGCTGGATCCAATCTCTTGGCAAGCCAGATTCAGCCTGTGAGCTGTAGGTTTCTGACCCCTGGTCTACTGAACTTTTTACTAAGGTAAAAAAATATTTCTTCCATGGTAAAAATGTCTAGACTGAGTTCCATGCCCAATATAAAATTAATTTTATAAAACTCTAGTTTTTAGGCAAAAATGAAAGTGACCTGTTGTTCCCTAGATTAATATTCAATCAATATTCTACCTCATCTAGGATCCTTCAGTAACATCTAGAAGAATTGAGCTGATAAAGCTTCTGCTAACTGAATCCTATACTCATCTAGGTGAAAAAGGCTGGAAATAAAACCCCAGCAGCTTCCCTTGAAAATTCAGTATCAACCATATCCTATCTCCTACCATCTTACCCATATGGTATTCTGTGTTCTACTCCCAACATTTTTTTCCAACCACTAACATTTTCAACAAACCCATATTAAAGGGTTTCTTTAGGGTTACCCTTTGGTTTGTCCTCTTCATTCTTTTTTGTTTTTTAAGACAACTGTCTCTTTTTTCTGATCATTCTGGGGTGTTCCTAATAGAATTTTTAAAATAAGTTGCACTACAAAATTCTTCTCTCCAACTTCATGGAATAGTGGGCTCTTTCCACCTACACTGTTGTTAAAATTAGTTAGATTTGGGCCATGATTCTCTTCTACTGTCTCTATTCTGTAATGTTCCTTCAGTGACAGAAAAATTGCAGCAGGGGAATTCCTCTAACTTCCACTACTGCCTTATGGTCATGAACAACCTCTTCTGTCATTAGATGGCTAGTGGAAGAGCTTCACTGTAGTATATTCTCTCCAGCCCAGCCCTGGAATGCCATCAGCAGTTTCCCTACACAAGTGCACCAATGTAGGATTAGTGGAGTGGAAAATCTAGCTACTGATGATAGATTTGAATTTTATGCATGGCTTTTAAGCTGCATAAATAAAGGACAGTTCTTTCCCAGTGTAACACCATGGTCTAGATTTGCTGTGTCACCACATTGCAATGTAAGCCTGTAGTTCTAGATACTTAACTGGTGATCATTCATAGTTCAACAAAGTTCTCTATGCCATGAAAGTATTAAGCCAGGCTACAAATACTAGAGCATTAAAAAAACCAAAAACAATTTGCTGTCAAAATTGTATTTATCCATTAAATCATGTAAACTTGGCCTCCAGAGAACTATAAAACCCAGGAGCTGCATTAGGAGTAAATGCTGTGCAGTTCAAGTTCAAATCCTATTAGAGTTTTTAATGTGAAATCTAATATATTTATTTTTTTCTCCCACACACAGGAGTCTGCAGCTTATAAGGCTGTTAATGCTCTTCAGTCAGCTTATGGTATAAGATATAGATACGGCCCTGCATCTAGCACTTTGTGTAAGTTTCTGTACTAAAATGATTTGTTACTTTGACCTACATACAGTAAGAAGGGATTGCCTTTACCAAAACAAAGGAAGCAAATGGCCTCTACAATAAACTTTGATCAAATTGTGACAGGTGAGAAGGACAGAAGGGAAGTTTGTAACATTTAGTAAAACTGTAATGAAAGAGATTAACGCAGCAGATGCTAGGGGGCAAAAGCCAAGCGAACAGGCTGATGAGTTGCAGTAAATTCTGGGGTGTAAAAAAAGGAAACGAAGAAAGAAAAGGGGTGTTTTTAATAGATACTGTGGTCCCAACACTAAATCTTGAGATAAGTGAGAGAAAAGAATTCCCAGGTTGCAGGTAGCAGCAGGAGCCATGCCCCCTGGATGAACCACTCATGACTCAATCCTGTGCCCTGCTGGCTGTACAGCCCTTGCCCCTCCCCTAGCTTCAGCCCCAACCCCAACCCCACTCCCTCTCCCTCCCCACCCTGATGCACCAGAAGCCCTCAGCCAGGCTGCCTTGTGGCCCTAGCACTGCCCCACATGGGGGGGGGGGGGGCTAAGCTCCATTAGCCCACCCCTCACA